GGGACATAAGAAGTAACCAGGGGACACACTGCTCCCTGGCAATGAATTGCTGGATTTCTGCAACAGCAACAAAGACAAATTTTCCACAGAAATTCAGGTCGGGCAGAACCAACCTGATAAAAGTGGGACTAACTCGGAGGAACACAGAGCAGAAAAAGCAGCTCAGGTAGGAGCTTGTTTGAAAAACAGAGTTAATGTTTAAAGTCAGCCAAGACAGAAACTACACACAGATGCCTGTATCAGTAGAGCCCTGAGTTCAAGGGTTAGACTATGGTGAGCTGCTCTAAAACATATAAAGAGGGTTGCTGGTCTTTTTTCTTTCAAAACAGCTTCTCAGCTCCCACATCCCATACCTAAATGTTATATTCCCAGATTAAAATGAGAGAAGTTGTAGCAGAGGTTCCTCCATTTCTACAGGGTTCCCAGAACCACTCTCCTTGCCCCATCACCATGGTTTGGCTGCCTGCCTCCACTGCTGACTGGAATCCCAGAACACAAACTGCTCCAGAAACACAAACAGGTTTCTGTCAGCACAGCGGGCACTCAGCATCACTACCTGTCTGCACAGCTCTGGGTCCCATTTACTGGGGTGGTCCTCAGCTTCCACACGAAAATGTTCATTTTTAAAATACATTATGACCAACCCTCTATAAACTGCAGGGCAGGGGAGAAGAAGGGGGACAGTTAATCTCCTCTTTGGTTCTCAGGAATTAAAGCTGTATGGCTGCACCACGCTGAGCTGGCTTTGCCAGTGTCAGTTGTTACAGGGCATTATTCTGCACCTTTGGGATGTGCTCCTCCTCAGCCTGCAGTATTTCCACATTCTGACACATTTGCATGAATCTCTCTGCTGGTGCTGCACTGCACAGATCAGGGAGGCAAGTTTATTCACAGGTCTATCAGCATAAATATCAGACCACAAAGGGAACATCCAGAAAGTGCTTTTCCCTTACCTGCAACATCAGGATTGCTTGAGACACACCACAAAGGCCATACTTAATCATGCAGCAAATTATGCACCCTAAAGTAATTTTAACCGAGTTCCAGCTATCAATACTTAACATCTAAAGCAAATATTCACACTGGAGAGAAACCTGCTGTTTCCAAACTCTTCTCTTGTCTGATTCCAAGCCCAGAGCTGTTTGGTTTGTGCATTAGGGGCTTTTTACCTTTGGACTCGTTTTTGTCCTCATCTGTTTCAGCTTCAAGTTTGAGGCCATGTGGTTTCAGAGTGTTGGCAACAGACTGTTCCTTGCTTATTGTCAGTTGAATTTAATTCCCTTTCTCAAGGGCATCTGACACGTTGTGGCTTCCAGCCATCCCACCTCCGGCTGTTCCCTCCCCAGCCAGGCAGTGCCAGGTTCCGCCAGCTCATGAATGGGAATCTTCCCTCCTCACCCAAGCCTGCCCCCAGCCCACAACAGGAAAGCTGAGGCTGTTGAAAGAAACAGGAATGGCAACAAAGCTGGCATTGTTGTCCTGAAAAACCACTGGCTGCAGCCCACCCGGCTCCGTTTAGGGGTAACGGATATAAGGATGAATCCAGGCTTTTGTTTAAAAAACTTATTTGCCTTTTTTTTTCTTGGGAGAATGACTTGAAAATGGTAACAAAGGCACTGCTGTAGACAAAGAAAGAACCAGGGGAGGGGGAAGTGGCACTATTTTTCTAGAAGTGGGTTGTTCAGGGTGGTCTTCGGGGTGTGAATGTCAGATTGACTTCCCACTGGTGCAGCTCATGGAGGAGGAGGGAAGCACCACTCAGGATCCCAGTTTACTGATGGCCTTGCCCTGCTAGTCTGAGCAATGAGGAGACTAAGAAAGTGTTCAGTGTTCATATCATGTTTATAACATGAAGACCTTGGCCTTGTACTTTTTAAGAACCTCAGTGCCCACTGTGATCTCTGGGTCTCTCCTTTTGTGTAGGTCAGAACACAGAACTTCACCCAGCAAACCCTGGATAAAACCCAACTAACTGTGGCTACGTTCAAGTGTGTTTAAAAGACATCCACTACTGACCCTGCTGAATAAAGGAATGAGGCTTGACGAGGGTCCTGTCTTGTATGGGAAGAAGTTTATGGTTTGCAGCCCTGCCACATATTCAGTGGGCTCTGAATGCCTTTTTGTAAGAGCAAAATTCTTCTCCTGCCTCCTTTTGTAGGAAAAACTGTATCTAAACACAAATGGATGCTCCCTCTGCATCCATGGACCGAAATTATCAACACAGATTGAAAGATTTAAATACAAGAGATAAAAGTCATGTCACTCACCCCATCATCAAGCAACAACAACCCTATAGGTTAAACCTGAGGATGAACTTTCATAGGACCTATTTATTCCTAATGGACCTATTTAATGATGTCTCCATGTTTTCACAGTGCAGCTGCCTGCAACAGTGTTTTTTGCAGTCAGTCCAAATGACATTAGTGGCAGATTAGGAATCTGACACATCAATTAGTAATCCATTCACTTTTTCCAAAGTCCACATCAGAAACTATCTGTGAATGCCAAACTGGGCTTGTGATCTCCACAGACATTTGTTAGTCTTAAGGAAAGAATAATAAATCTCAGCTTTTCTACACTCATAAGGAAATCAGACTTCAGTAAAGCTCACGGTTACGGCTCTCCAAAATTTATATTTTTGCCAATATGGATGTAAGTTTTGATTGGATTTTCTTTTAAAATTAAGAAACTTGCACCTAGTTTTCCTTGGTTTCCATTTTTCAAGCTCATGTCAGCTTCTTTGTGTTCATCTCTGCTGTGGGTTTCCTTATATTTCAATTAAAAACTGCAAGTTTGTAAGTAGAGTCTGAAAACAAATCTACTTACACAAGAGGTGCTAAACCAGGGCTGCTCAGAGCATCCTACACCAGTTCAAAACCAGAAGGATAAGGAGAGGCCTCACACCTTGAAAGGTCAATGAAAGGATCCTGTTGATCTCCAGGCCAGAAAAGCACCAGTCAATTGACCAGTTTGAAATAAGTAACCAGACCACTGGTAGGTGACAGTACAGAGGGATGACTTTAATGCCCAGGTTGGATGGTGAGGGATGGTATTTTTCCCTCTCTGATTTGGCACACTGGGAGTTGACTATACATGGTTATGGCAAGACTCTCCACACCCCTGCAGTGCTCAAATATCTCCCCAATCCCTCTATTTCCATTCCTCTGTTCTCATTTTTTCTCTCTCAGGGAAGTGGTTCATGAGGCAGCTCTGTTAGAAAATTCAGCCTCCTTTGCCATTTGTCCTTCCTCACCTGCACTCTCCATTTTAACTCTCTCCTCACTATGAGATCTAAGCTTCTCCTGGAGCAGAAGGTGCAAAGAAAGGAAGGACATTATGGTCTCACCACCAAAACTGCCCTCAGAAAAGCAAATGGAGTTTGCAATTTTGTGCACAGATGGAGCTGTATCCGAAAGCATTACATCCCCTACTTATGGTGGGGATTTTTTTGCAAGGCATTATTGGAAGGAAGCTTGTCAGTTCTGCTGAGAAACTTGGCAAACACCAGGGCACACCAGACTCACTCTTTTACACAGCTGGATTTTCTGCAGCTCAAGTATTTTTCCCCTCTTGCTCTTGGCCCATCCAAAGATGAGTGCTGAATTTCCCTTAACATTACCCACAGGTTAATTTGTTATTAAGTTTAGGCTCAGTTTAACATCTTGGCATGCAATTTAAATAAAACCAAAACCAAATGTCCTTCATTTCTGCAGAAACCACCCTCGGTTTGGCTCAGCTGCCTTTGGTGTCACTGGAGGGTGAACAGGAGATTCATTTTCGTCTTGTCATTTTTGGTAGTAACCTAAAAATCCTCCATGCAACTTTGAAATACATTGCCATAAAGTAATTGTCATGGAATGAGACTGGCCAGGATCTGAACATGCTACATTGACTCTGACTTAGCTGTGAAATACTCCTTACTCCAGGAAAGGAAGATGCAACAGGCACACAAACTGGAGCCCAGAATGGTGCAGACAAAACTTGGGCACAATTCCTTAGTACAGGAATGATGGTGGGATTTCCCACCTTCCATCCAGAGAAGCTGAAGGAAGGAGCACTTGAAAATCCCAGAGGTACAGTCCTGAGCCCTGTGTAACTTTGTTCCTGGTCTAATTCTGTACCTTACACAGCCTGACTGTGACACAGTTCAACCAGAGTGATGTCAATGGAAAGGGGAAAAAGCTCCTCAGTTTCTGAGTAAGTGCCTGTGACACTGAGCCTGGAGAGCAGGGAATGGGAAGCTGACCTTTGCTTAACTCATGAGCTGCACCAGGAGGATGCAGCTGACTCTTCCACTCAATTTTCTTCTGTCCAGGGGATATTTTCAGGCAGCTTTAAAGAGTCTTCAAAGTCACCTGCAGAGAGTACCCAGTAATCTCATCCTGCACATTTCTGTCTGACTCGGGGTTATCACGTTCTTTCCTGTTTTTTCCCATGTGTTCAAAGGGTGTTCCTTAGGTGTGATCGAGCTGATAAATCAAGTTATATGATTTCTTTCTGCTGATCAAATAATAATGCCTAGGGGCATTTCCAAAATACTGATGTTTACCATTTCAGTCACAGCAGATTACTTCACTTGCAGAGATGAAACCATTACCAAACTATTTAACTATTAAAGTCCTTGACAGAGACACCTGAACTTCAGAGAAAATTTAGCAAGTTCAAAGACTTTGAAGTTGATGGTGGTTTTATGGACCTATTCTGTGCAGTGAAGAAAAGCAGAATTTGTCTCTATTACCATCAATCATTTAAGAGAAGAGGCCTCTTTGTGCCACTCAGAATCAGAAGAGAGAGTAGAAAACAGGGGAAAATCAACTGGATTTATGTGTGCTGAAACGAATATTTATGTGAGCCTCCCAAAAATTAAGTTAGGTACCAATGTGCCAGATTTATGAAATCATAACAAACATGCCACACTGGTAATTGCACTTGTCTGGCTTTAAACAAAAGTGTGCTCCAGGGGCAGAAGGAAAGAAGGAAACAGAAGGACAAGTTCTTACTTGTGCCCAAGTTCATGTGCAATTGTAAAAGCCAGATTGAGACCATTGTCTTCAGCAAGAACACACTTCCTCTTGGCACTGCAGACACCTCCCAGGTAAGCGATTCCTGCAACATAAATACAGAGAATGGCTCCATCAGCATCAGTGGCTCAACCAGAATGACAAAAAATGCAACCGGCAGGAAAAACACCAGAGCAGTTTGCACACAAAATCATCTGAGTAGTTTGTTCATCATCCTATTGAAGAATCAGTCCAGAGTTTAGTCAGACAGGAAATAAGTTAAACACACCTTCACTGCTTTCCTTGGAAAATATATTTCACTGTTTCAAAAATATATTTCACTGACTCAGAAATTCATCTAAGCTTGTCCATTAATGCCCTCTACTACAAGATGCAGTGAAGTATCCTGAATAAGCATTTAAATGGAGTTCTTCCAAACTTCAGAATAAAGTTGGGGACAGGGGATAAAACAATAAAGCAGAAACTCTGGAAAGATCTTACATTTCCCCATAGTTTCACACTCAAAAGACAGCAAGAGTGTCAGAGCCAGAGAAGCTGGCAAACTGCTGACGGTGAGTCACAAAGCCAGTGGAGGTGGCAGAAGTCCTCTATGGCTTGGTGGAATTTAGGATTTGATCCCATGCACAGGATTCTCCAGGCCTGTTTGTGTGGGCACCACAAATGGTTTGAGGCTGAAGCCAAAGAGGAATTCAAAAGTTACTGCATGAAAACTCTGCTGTGGAAGAACAACAGTCCTCAGATGCCCTTCCTGCACCCAGACTGTCCCCTCAGAAAGTGCCACTGGACTTGGAAATGCTGGGGTGGCATCACAGGCCACGCTCAGGACAATTGGCTGTTGAGACTTTGTTTCATCTGCCACCTGGAAAACGCAGTTGAGCCACTGGGAGCTGGGCACAAAGGTTAAAGGCAGGGGGTTTTGTTCATACACTGCTAAACAAGCCCCTAAAAAGCCACAGAACAGCTCAGTGCACGCACAAAACAAGATTCCCAGATGGCACAGGGCAACCTAAATGTCCCTTCAGCCACTCCACACATCCCTCTGCCACGCTGGAAGCAAGGGAAGTGTAAAGACCTTCCCCAAACGCCTCTCAGTTTTTTCACAGTGGATATATTTGCTTGTATTTTTATTTAACAGACAACAAGAAATGTAATTCCTCCCTGGAACACTGTTCCCACGGAGGGGTAGCTGGGATCTGGCTGCCTTTAAAGAGCAGCCCATGACCATGCACTGGAGACACGGGCTCTGCTTTTTTCCTTTCTCTTTTTTTATTTTCTTCCCTCAGAGCTGACAAAGCTGCGTTTATCAGAGTGCAAATGTAAAACTTCAGACCTGGGGGAAGTCCAGCTCTGTTCTTATGAGTTTTGACAACAATAAGGATATGGATATTTGTTGCCAAGGGTATTCTGGATGGAATGAAGGGATGGGCAACAGCCTTTTACTTCAGCACGTGCAGCAGAGAGCGAAGGCAGAAATCAGACCCTAACAGTTGCTTATTTTAAAAGTGCTGACTGTGAAAGGCCAGATTCATACCACATGCAAAAAATGAAGATTTAATCTTTTAAATCAATGGCCACAGAAGGCTGGGTTTCAGCACTTTAATCAACTGACTTGCTTTTTACTCACAGAATAATCCTAAGGATGTCAAGGAATTGCTCAAGAAGTAACAGCCTTCTTTGAGAAAGATTTTTGAGGTTACAACCTCAGTCCACACACCTGATGGGCTAAGGAATGTGCCACTTTTTGGTTAAAGGGAAGCAAAAATGAGGTACTAGAGCCACAGAAGCTAGAGATGAAAAGGAACCATTATGGCACTCAGCCAACCTTCTGCTTCTTTAGATTTGTGCCTTTCTGCATTTTTGAGTTCTCAAACCCTCCTTTTACTGAATATTTTATTGAATGTATGAATATTTTGGTTCCCTCTCAGCAGATTCAGGTACAGCAAACAGCAATGACCAGAGCAGGATTCTTACCAGAAGCGTTTTATCCCTACTACTAAACCTGATTATTCCACCTTCATCTTCCATTAACCTGTGCCAATATCACCTCAGTTGTATCTGATACACGAGGTTTTGACTGAGAAGCACCAAAACAGAACTGCATTTTCAGCTCAGGGTTCAATCAGTCAAGTCAGTTTAGCTGGAAATGATTCGTGCCAAGTTCAGACTTCATAAAATGAGGCTGAGTCTATGTTTGCCATCACTTGGAGATGGAAGGGGGCAATATTGCCATGTTTGGGAGCAGTGGTGCAGCAAAACAGCCCAGAATTCTATTAAAGAGGTTAAATACCAGTTAAAATGTCACATACATTACCTCAAACAGAAATTCTTCTCAAGTCTTTGTTTAGTGGCTCTAATCCCCACTGAACCTGGCAATAACACTGCTCTGTGCTAAGAGCCTCATTATTTAAAGGTGGAAAACTTAATTAAGGACTTGTACATCCACCAGTGGTTGAAGGTTGAAGTGGACTGTGGCTCAGTTACAGACTGTTAGTCATCTCTTTTTATTAGTTATTTTCAATGCTTAATGTGAATCCTGTGTGGCCATTTTATAATATTTGCAGTGATCAATTAAAAAAAAATGTAGACATCTAAAATTAGTTTATTATTACAGAAATGGACTGGGCAGAGAAAGTCATAATCCTGGAAGAGCAGAGAGCAGAAACCTTTGGAGCACATGGAATGAAGTCAGTAAGAAGTGCAGCTCATGAACTGCTGAGTGCTTATTAATAGGAGTCATTCCGGAACAGCAAGCCAGTTATAACAAATTGTACAACATCTGAAGCCTGAAAAAGTTTGCCTCAGAAACGTTTCTGAAATATATATTTTCTATCAAATGATTTCCTAAAACTATAATTTTCTTTTGGACCAATGCATTTCACCATTAGTTCTTTCATCAGAACATAAATAGCAAATAAGTTATTCATCTGCAAACATAATCCAGTTTTTCAGCAAATATATCCAAACTACTCAGATAAATACAACTTTTTTGTGACCCAGTGCAATGATCCATATAATTGATATGCAGAGAAAAATACACCTTTAACCAACAGCCATAGCAGCACAATGCCTTGGTAGCTGCATTAATATGATTTATTTTCTTCGCTGGGATGAATGGAAACTGCTGTTTGCCTCTTCAAATTTCCAGATTTCTATCTGAGCCTTTCAAGTCTGCAGAACTGGAATTCAGATATGTTTGTGAAAATCCTGGCATGCTGTGGTTCTACCAGGCTGGGAATGATATAGGAGGAAATTCTTTTATTTGGTAATTTTGCTCCTGGTCCTGTCGGAGAGACAGGTGTGTGAAAATGAAAAATAGGAAAGAAAGCTGAACTGGGGTTTTTGCTTATTTTTAAAAAAATACCTCACACTTCTCATGTGCTTCTGCAAACACACAGACAGTGGGGAAGAAAGTCCTTATCTTTCAGATACACTGTCAGCAAATACCTCAAGTCTATTTTTAATATAAAAAAAGGTCAAGCAGGAGCATCAGTGGTAAAGGAAAGCCAAATACTATTTTTACTATTCCCGAGCATGAGGGTTTTTTCCTTTCTCTCCTGAGAAATTACATAATTACAGGCCATAACTTCTGTGCTTGGGCTTGAACAGGCAGAGCTCTCTGCACTTCCACAGCAAACCCTAGGACACAGGCAACTGTGTAAACTCACTTTTTATCCAAAAAGTTGTCATACATAAACAGTTTGCAGCTGTTGGCCTCTCTGCCAGCTAATGAGCCCTCCACCAGCAATATCTCTGAGGGGAATGATTCCATTTATCCCACCAGCTCAGCGAGGCATTAGGATATTACACACTTGCCACAGGGATGGCCAAAGCTGGGAGAGCACAAGTTCTGCTGCGTGGGCTCCCATTCTGCCCTCTTTCAAACACCAGGGGCTTCCTCCTGACGCCTGGGGAATATTCACTCAGCAAGTGGTTTGTCCAGGTACTCCAGCTTTCAACTCTCTAATGTCTTGTTTTCATTGCGCTCCTAATACTTTAATCTCTTCTTTTGCCAACCACCTCTGGATACAGAACTTTTACTTGATTAAAACTTGGCTGGCTCTCCTCCTCTCAATGTATTTGCTGTTGGGAAGGGAGCCAGGCTCCAAGTCCTCAAGTCTGCTTGGCACAGATGGAGACTCCCTGCATATCCACATGCTCAGAGCAAACCTCCCATTCCCCATCATTACTACTTTGGTGCTGAGCTGGATGTTTTTCTCATCCTCCCACGATTTTCAATTTGTGCAGCTCACACATTGCCATCAATTACATTCCTGTAGCCTCTCTTAACATCCTCCACAAGGAAAACCAGGAAACCCTGAAGTGATTCATGCTCTGCCTTTCCATTCAATGGCAATGATATGTTTGACAGAGATGCCCTGCCTGTATTTACACACCAAGTCAGTCACCAAGGGAATCTTTCAGTGCTTATGATACTTAAAATGAAAAATGCTTCTCCTTCCTATTAAGCCTATACAGAAAAGGTTCCAAAATTTAAAAAAAAAAATAAAAAAATTAAAGAAGTACCCATTAAACTGCCTCCAAGATAGGTAATCACACAATCCCTGTCCTACAGCTGAGTAAACAGAGGCCTCAAGAGTCAGCGGTATCCAGGTGAAAAAGAACAGTATCCATGGAAGGACCTCTCCAGCATGTACAACACAGACAGGCTGAGGCTGTTACCACTGTCCCACTGAGCCTCCAGTTCCAAATTTGGTTTACAGGGATCATCCACAGGGTGAGCTGTTCCTTCATTTTATGAGAATGTCCTCATTCAAAGCTGGACATGCAATTTTAGTGGCACAGATTAATTTGGCTGGGTAATCATCTCGATGCCAATCCTGTTAATCTTGCAGCATGGTTTCCATTAGAGTTTAATATTCATGCATGGAAACTGTTTTCCTTAGCCACAATTTTCATTGTTACAGTATTTAATGAAAACCACGCTGGAAACAATACACTCATCATGAATCACAAGTACAGAAATTACAGTACAACCACCCAATGCACGAGGGACAGCTACAGTCAGGTAGGAAAACAAGTTAATCATCACACCAAGTGCTGTACCCAGTGCAAGTCACAATATTT